CGGGAACAAATTGCATTCAATATATGATCTCTTTTTGAATTCATTGGGAGTTTCTGGGAGGAAAAATGTGATAAAATGAATTCAAAGGAAGGTTCCATCTCATTTCTACTTGTGTCAATTGTTTTGCTTGGATGCCCGATGGGAGTTTGCAGTTTCGTTCTTCGTGTTGCTTGCGCAAAGCGTATAGCTTAATGAGTGTACAATGTACAGGACCACAGATCTTCTAGACAAAGAACCCAATCAAGTGCATACAACAGCCAAATACACTAAATCTGGGACTTGCTTGAACCTTGACATGCTTCATGTGTTATCATTCATGCCTCAAATGAATTCGACATGGACTTTCTGGTTGTTTGGCTCAGCCTTTCGCCCACCATGCCAGCTTCGATTCCCGAACATGAGGGCAAGGTGTTGTTGGGGAACCTGGTGCCACAGTTCTCGTGACCCCCTCTGTGCTGGATTCCACCGGCACCGGCAGTTGGGACGAGATCTTGGAGCGGAACCCATGGTTGGCGACCACTCACTTGGTGGCTAAGCCAGACTTGATCAAACACCGTGGCCATGGCAAGGCTATTGCCGTTGAAAATAAGTCCTTTGATGAGGCAAAGAAATGGGTGATGGACAAAATGTGCGAAGAGAAGATGAACTTCCTCATCGAGCCTTTTGTCGCTCACACACAGGAACAGGAGCACTACATCTGCATGAAGTGCTGCACCTGTCACGCAAAATCATCTTAGCAAACCTACACTTCTGATACTCCAAAATGCAACCCCTCTCAGGAAATCAGCGCCCTGACCTCCCAACCTCTCTCATGAACATGTCTTTTGTACTGCGCCTGCCACGGAAAATGTATCTTTGCAGATCATCTTCAGATGTCCCATGCCTGCCATCGTTATTCGAAATGCTACAAGACCCTCATGTTTAGCTCACTTTTGACAAGCTGCACAATCTCTTGCACCTGCCAGGCGAAACGACATCTGAGCCTCCAAAAGTGGTCCGAACCCGTAGTGTTTTTAACATTTTGACCTGGAAATGTGCTTCGCGCCACAACCGCGTGCACTTTTTCGAACTTCCAAAAGTGGTCCTTATACATTCTGGCCTCGAAATGTGCTTCTTCGTCACAACGGCGTGCACTTTTTCGACATCTCAACTTCCAAAAAACATATATCAATTCTAGACACAGGAATAATTAAATTGGAACCATCAGCAGAATTGAATACATTTAGCAAAAATGAAACCTACTTTGATTTACTTTGAACCATACCCCAGCAGGGTCATCTTTGGTTTTCAGCACAGGTTTCAACAGGGCATCCCTCCCCCTGTTGTGGCAAGTTTTGGAGATCAAGCCGCGTCCAAGCTGTAAAACACGGCATCGAAATAAAGAAGGAATTATCGAAGGAAGTTTAGAAGTCAAACTTCCGACAATATGGACAGATGAAAAGCAGAGCAGGGAAGAGGCAGAGAGAAGAGAAAGATTAGAAGAAAGAAGAGTAAGAAGAAAGAAGATGCAGGTGCGCGAAAAGGTAGGAAAGTCGTGAAACACTGTGTTTTTCCAATGATTTGTGGCTCCAAAGGGTCGAAAAGTAGGCTCGCTAAAGCAGCGGGTGCGGAGCCAGCTGGCCAGATGAGATGAAAAATTGCACGCTGTTGTGGCGCGAAGCACATTTCGATGTCAAAATGTACAAAGCGCACCATTCTCGGACCACTACAACCACCACTACACCACACTACACTCCAATACACTACACTACACTACAACTACACCAGCCTAGGAAAGAACCAATGTGCTGCTGGAGCAGCTGGTCGCAGTCCAGCAGGAGGCGCTGTCAGAACAGCACGCTTTGGGCAAGAAGATGCACTGCCTCGAGGGGCGCATGGTGCCTGGGCTGCCATCAGCTCAGCAGCTCTAGATCAATTAGATTCCCATTGGACCACCATAAGATTCGCAATAGATTCCCAATTCCCATTGGTAAGAATCCCATTGGATCCCATTGATTAATGCTGATTAGTTTCCCTAAGGATAAATTAGCAATGGTCAAACCAGTATTGGTAGGGCGTTCTGGTCCGGTGTTCAACTGCAAGCCAGCCTGGTGATGCCACCGCGGCCCTTCAGCATCTCTCATATCCGGCACCACTAAAAGCCTTCGGATCGCCGTTGCTCGCCGCCATGGAGAATTGGGTGAATTTCATCGAGGAGCTCAATGCAAATTTTGGTTTCGATGCTTCATTCATTTCAACGCTTCCATGTGTTCCCAGCATTCTCCCAGGAACGCCTGGACTATGTCGTTGCCTTTTGGTTGGGAACTTTCTTTCCTGTGAAGGCACAGGGCAGGGGTCAAGTGCTGGTGATGAAACGCGACGGGCTGAGTCGCCAGAGCTTCACACGTCCCTTGGACTAACGCAGCCATCCACCCTACCTCTTCGACGCACCGATGGCTAACTCCATACCTCCATCCACAGACCCATTCACACAGACATGCATCTATACAGAACCGACCTGGCACCTGAAAATTGCAATGACCATTTCAATAGGCACATTGTTTGTGATGGATTTCCATCAGGACTAGAAAATCCACGCAAATCCACGGAATTTACCAACAGGTTTGCGATTTGCCCCCTCAAGATGTGCACGGGGATTCCAAGAGTCCAAGAGTCGGTACCAAGGCGTTCCATGATGTACATTTTCCGTGGTAGAACGGGCAAAGTCCTCTTGAAGCACATAAACAGGAACAGGGTGGATCAAGATGGATGAATTCCATCAGAGATTACATATAGCCGCCGTGAGTACTTTGGGATATCCTTGGGGATGCCGTCGCCTTGGCTAGCCCTCCGCAGGTGCCTGCCGCAGCTGCCCAGCCCGCATCTGGCGTTCGAGAAGGCGCTGCCGGACCTCGGATGGTCCTTGACACATGTGGTCGTTCCTCATTACTAATAACCTTAATAAATAATCTCATTCATCCCTACTAACTATAGCTAATCCCTCATAAAGTCACAAGAAAAATAATCAAGCACTATGATTGCCACTAAGGATGAATATTGCGGTCTACAGGCAGACAGGGAGCGACATATCAGCCAGTGCACCACGTGCGGGGAGTACCTCAATGAGAAAGCCAAGCAGCTGCTGATGAAATTCCGCCAGGCGGGAGTGCCATTTTCATGGCTGGCAATCTGCAGTTGAATGACCCAGTGGAGTTAGGCCAACTGTCAGTTTGTACAGAACCAGGAAGCACAGACAGGCTGACTGAACAGGCCGGCAGCGTGGAGAAACGGCTGGATTCTTGAAGAGATGTGTTAAAACCCCTTCAAATTAAAAGGACACCGTTCATATGATTGTGGCTCTAATCAGAGAATCCAGCCAGCTCAGAGGAGAAGACCAGGCTGACAGCCAGCTTCTACAGACAGCTGGCAAGCACAGAGAGGGTGGCTAGCAGCCAGGCAGCGTACAGGCAGAGACTCTCTGCGGCAGAGGGGTGGATTTCATCCAGCAAAAGGCAGTAGAGCGGTGAGGGCTTGGTGCTAGGGACCCTATAATAATAAACACCCCGGGGTTAACTAGTTTTTAGTATCAGGGGGCAAAACCCACAAATGGTAGCTTTATTTTAAACTTGTTTTCTAAAGGGGATCAATTAAAAGTCAAATTGGCCAATCTGAAATTTTCCGAAATTGGAAATGGACACCTGTTTTCAGTTTTTTGGGGGACGTTTAGTAATAGGGGGAAGGGATTACACTACATTCCACTACGCTACACTACACTCCACTACACTCCACTACACGACATTCAATTACACTACACTACATTACACTACACTACATTCCACTACACTACACTACACTACACTACTCTACACTACACTACACTACACTACACTAATTACACTACACTACACTCCACTACACTACACTACAACTACACTACACTACATTCCACTAAACTCCACTACACTTCACTACACTCCACTACACTCCACTACACTGCACTACACTACAACTACACTACACGACATTCCACTACACTACACTACACTCCACTACACTCCACTATACTACGTTCAATTACATTACACAACACTACACTACAACGCTACACTACACTAACTACAACTACAACTATACTACATTTACACTACGCCACACTACACTACACTAATTACACTACACTACACTCCACTACACTCCACTACACTACACTACACTGAATGACACTGCACTACACCTACAACAACAACTACAACTGCATCTGCAACTGCAACTACACTACATTACATTACACTACACTACACTACATTACACTACGTTACACGAACTACAACTACAACTACATAAGACTACACTACACTACACTACACTAATTGCATTACACTACACCACACTGCACTACACCCCACCCCACTCCACTACACTACACCTCACTACGCTACACTCCACTACACCACGCTACACCACACCACACCACACTACACTCAATTACACTACACTACACTACCCTACCCCACATTACATTACATTACATTACACTACACTCATTACACCACCACAAATGCAACTGCAACTACACTACACCAATTACACTATACCACAACTACAACTCCACTACACTACAACTACAGCTGCACTACAGCACACTACATCCGGCAGTTGTGGGTGAGGTGACCGACCAGGTGACCACTGCAACGATTGCAACCAGTCCACAAAACACAGCTCCAACCACCTTTCGGTCCGCTCTGCCATCCGTGATTCACAACAACCAAGCTCTCCTATAGGTTTCCTATTTTTGAAACTTCCGCCACCGCCTTGTGCGGTACTACTGGTATATTTATATATATTTCATACTTCAATCTGACACAATAGTATATATATATGTATATATTTATGTATACACACTAGTGTATCTATTTAAATATGTAAATTTGGCAACATCTAGCCCTGAAATGGCGGGTCATAGGAAAACGTCCCTAGGTTGCCCTGACCTGGCTCTGCCCAGGACGGACGTGACCACCACCTTTCAACGGCCGGATGCCCTTGCCAATCAGTTCTGCGAGACATTTGGTCACATCTTCTGCGAGAAGGTGGTTATTCATAAGTCGGGACAGAAGTCATGGGATTCATGGAGTTATACAAACATGGATTTGCAGTTTGTTGCATTGAAAAGTGTTGTGCTTTGGTGCTGGCAAATGCACCAGTGCGATCTACATTTCACATGTTTTGAAGAATGACGTGTACTATATGATTATTTGCGGGCATGTTTTCTATCTAATCTTACAAAAAACGGCATCGCGAAATGCTATAATGATCTAACGTTTCAAACCTTTACTCTCCCTTTGTGCTAAACTTTGCTTCTTACTGATGTATGACTATACAATTGTCATATACTGTAGTTGAAGTATACATGTTTCGATATCTATATATATATATATACACATATTAACCTATATATTAACCACGTATTAACCTATATATTAACCACATATTAACCTATATATTAACCACGTATTAACCAATATATTAACCACATATTAACCTATATATTAACCACGTATTAACCAATATATTAACCATTATATACCTTCGTAATACTTAGGTTTGTATGGGTCAATACTAACTCCAAACTTGCTGACCAACCTCCAGTTTTTGTCCATGTCCAATCCTGGGGACCAGGATATACCAGGAATCCAACAAAATGAATTTTAAATGAATGGTAACTGGGATATATCATACTAGTTTCCAGGATTTGATGTGGCTTGTAGCCCTGGCTTGTAAACTGGTTTGTAGCCCTGCATTTTTTTGTGAAACATGAATGGTACAAGTAGTTCAGAGATCGTTGCGCTAAACCCCTATACAAACCATAGCCCAACGGACGTCCAAGGAAGACCTTGGCCATCACGCATCCAGACCTTCGTCGCCTGCCAAAAATCACTCAGTGCAGCACTGAGCAAAGCAAGGCGACCAATACGCGGAGTGGCCTGGCTGCAGCAAAGTGCAACGGATTTAACGTGGTATCCTCTGGTAAACTAACATAGCTATGGAAAATCACAATCTTTAATAGGTAAATCAACTATAAATGAGCAATTATCTATAGCTATGTTAAATTATCAGAGGGTAAACCACCTTGGGGGGTTGAAACAGCGAAGATAGATGAACATAGTTTTTAAATCAACTAAAATGATGGGATGAACCAACAAAAATGAACCAACAAAAATTGCTATACATTTGCGGGATTCGGACACAACTAGAGACTGCAGACGTTTGAACTGAAACACATAGTTTGTGTCCTGCTTAGACAGAGGGTAAGACCCCCGGATTCAACAACCAACTAAGAGATGTGTTTCTTGTATCATTACTAACGGTTTTTGACATTGTTTTTATTAATCTTCTGGAGAGTATACTGGCGGACATACACTTAGAACATCTATATGGTGCCTTCTAGGATGTTCTAAGTGTATTTGTTTTGTTGCTCTGATGTTTCAAGTGCACACTTAGAGCATCCCCGCTGTGAAGGCTTGATATTTTTCCAAAGTATGTTCCAAGTGTACGTCCGTCAGTATACGGTAATGAAGTCTAAAAACATGGCTGCCTGAAGTTCATGGCATTTGCTGGTTGGTGGTTTCAAACATTTTTTATTTTCCATAATATATGGGATAAACCTTCTCATTGACTTCAATATTTTTCAAGATGGTTGAAACCACCAACCTGTTTGGGATGGGTTGTAGCACGACTCAATGACTCAAAATTTTCCCACCACACGGGGCCCGGGCCCAGCTATAGGTTGGTTTTACAGGTTGAGGTTTTTCACCCCCTGAAACTATAGATGATCATGCATTAATATCTACCCTAAATAACCTAGGGGCTAATTAACATGTATGGTAACCGACAGAATTATGGAAAAAAAACGTTCAACTTAGACAGGCGGCGCCTGCGTCCGATTTTTCCATAATTGGATTTTTCCCCATAAGGGTTCAAAATATCCCGGAAGTGATCCGAACCTTTTTTTTTCCCATAATTCTTGGAGGTGGCCATTATTTCCATAATTGATTTTTCCTGTAAAATCAAGGGGCTAGGGCAGATTGACCGGTTTTTCCATATTTTTTTTTCCATAGTTGATCTTTGGGGTTCCACCTGTTGGACATGTCATGGATCCACAATTGATTTTTGGATTTATTGTCGGGAAGCTAATGGTGAAATGGGGTTTACATGTACATACCCGTATACATGATATTATGTATATCAATGGCAGGCTTTAGGGGCATATACCAGATCTTTAGACACATATTTTCTATAATTCAATATTCCCCCTTAAAATGCATTCAAATTGCGAATCGATGGACATACAGTCACCGACAGAATTATGGAAAAAAATGGAAACAATAATTATGGAAAAAAAAGGTTCGTAACTTTTCTATCATAGACAGGCAGCGCCTGTAAATTGAAACGTTTTTTTTTCTTCCATAATTCTGTCGGTGACTGTATACACATTTATACACATGTAAAAACATGTATAAAGAAGTATATATATATATTATTGATTATTATATATTATATAATATATATTATATATTATATAATATATATTATATATTATATAATATATATTATATATAATATAATATATTTTATTTATTAAATATATATATATATAGATAGATATAGATATTATATTCTATATTATATATTAAATATTATATGTTATATATTATATGTTATATATTATATATATATTATATATTATATTTTATTGATTATATATTTTTTCAAAATATATATATATTATATATAATATATTGTATATTATTTATTATATATTATATATTATTTATTATGTAATATATATTATATATCATATTTTTATTTATTTATTATATATTAAATATTTTATTATATATTAAATATTTTATTATATATTATATATTATATATAGTATATATTATATATATTATATATTATGTATTCATTATATTATATTTTATATTATATATATTTTTTATTAAATATTAAATATTATGTATTAAATATTATATTATATATTATATATTTTATTTTATATATATTATATATTAGATATTAAATATTATATATTATTTATTATATATTATATATTTTTATATTATATATTATATATTTTATTTTCTATATTATTTATTTTATAGATTATATATTATATATTTTTCTTATGTATTACATATTATGTATTATATTTTATTTATTTTTTGTTATTTATTATATTTTATATATTGTATATTATATATTATATATTATATATTATATATTTTTATATTATATATTTTATATTTTATTTTATATATTATATTTTAAATATTATTTATTATATATTACATAATATTTATTATATATTACATATTATTTATTATATATTATATATTTTATATTATGTATTATTTATTTTGTATTATATATATTTTTATTTTATGTTATTTATGATATATTATACATTGTATATTATATATTATATATTTTTTAATTGTATATATATATATATTATATTTTAAATTAGATATTATATATTATATATAATATATAATACATAATATATAATATTATATTTTACATCATATATTATAAATATATATAATATTATAAAGTATATATTTTATTATATATATATATTTTTTAAATATTTTAGATTTATTATATATATATAAGATATTATATTTTATATTTTATATTTTATGTATTATAAATTGTCTGTTTTATATTTTATTTTTTATATTATATATTAAATATTATTTATTAAATATTATATATGTTATATTTTATGTTTTATTTATGTCAATCAATAAAGCCTAGTTATCCTAGCTTCGCGACATCTGTAAAGCCATGATCCACCAATTCCTTCAGGTTGCAGCGGTTCAATGGGAGCTCCCCATTTGCTGGACCTCAGCGATGTGGTGGGCGAATGGCAATTGCACCTTGGTCCTTTGGGGAGTTCCCCGGTGTTTTTTTTGATTTTGACCGTGAAATATGAAAACCATTGGGATTGAACATGGTTTGAATACCAGCAACAAAAAATCTGCAACTGGACGTGGTAATCCTCATTTTGGAGGGGTTGACACCACTGAAAATGCTGGTGAAATAGTGAGAACGCAGTCCGTTTTGGGTCATGTTGGTGGAGGATTTGTATATGCAAGCTTGTGTTGCCGTTACAAGCGAACGCCCAAAAACGAATGATCCAATAGACACTGCCACGGCCAACTTGCGCACCCTGATCAATGCTACTCGTGCTACTTGGCCCGGTTCCAAACTCATGTGTCTAGCAAGCTGCCAGTGGCTAGTACCGAACACATAATTACCTATGTATACATAATATAATATATACATACATACTATCAAACCATTATATACAATGCACATATACCTATGTACATAGTAAATACATAATTATATATATTTATGTATACATATATCACATCTACTTAAACGGGATATCCTGGTCCCTCATCAGCTGGGTAGCTCCACAGGTTTTGCAGCGTTTCACAGAGCGTCTTCTCTGAGAAGTCCCTCCCAGCCGCTGGGCACAGCTTGGCCCGTTGGAGCAGCTTCCCTTAAAATCATCGGGGTAGATTTGTATAAGGCATTTATAGGGCTACATACATATGTATGTACGTATATATATATATATGTTTTTTTGGTTATTCTTAACAACAATCAACATGCTCGGGGACTTGACCAACAAAAACATGGAGTTAACAAAAATGGTGGATATGTGGTGATTTTATGGGTAATTATGTATAATGAGATAATCATGGATAATGCTAGTAAACCAATGTCATAAACCACCCATACAAATTGATGGTTTATACCACCCATAAAAATGGTAAAACATCGGGATGGTTTACCATTGCTTTGCTAACACTATAGGGTTTTGATGGGGGCTTTATCCATCAGTTATAGGGTCGTTACAGGGGTTTTGAATTAATGCAGAATTAAGTATCTAAATTTCACAGATTGGATAGTATTTTTTTTTTTATGAGTAACAACGATGTATTCATTATGTAATGATGTCACGAATAGGTATTTTTGATCTACCATTTTACTGGTATGTAACGGGTATATCATGGTTATATAATGGGGCTATCATGCAGAAATCATGGACCAACAGCTGTTGGAGTATTATTTAAAAAAGTTATTCTGCTACAAAGTGGTGTTGGTAAGTTTGAGGCTTGTTTAATGCTTTTTAATGCCCGTGAGAAAATTGAGATGGTCCTGTATAGGAAACTCGAACACTTTGGCCAACGTCAACCAGGTGATGCTGGGTAAGCCTGGCAAGCCTGGATGTGGATTTTTTTGATTAAGGTTGGGCTACAAGAATATACACCTACAACTATAACAATACATACATACATACAGACAAACAGGCAGGCAGGCAGACAGACAGACATACAGACAGACATACAGACAGACAGACATACAGACAGACATACATACATGCATGCTGCATACATACATACATACATACATACATACATACATACATACATACATACATACATACATACATACATACATACATACATACATAATCATACATACATACATACATAATCATACATACATACATACATAATCATACATAATCATACATAATCATACATAATCATACATAATCATACATAATCATACATAATCATACATACATACATACATACATACACACATTATGACATAGGTATATGTACGATTAAATTATATAGACTATATATAGAAATATATGATAACATTATGGGCGGCTGAGGCCTACCTGCGCGCCTGGCGTGCTGCACAGCTGGAGATGGAGAAACCGAGCTCGCTGCGCGGCTGATGCTTGGACGCTGATGACGGGGAAGGTTGCCATTTGGCAGTGTGTCAAAACCTTGTACCCCTGGTGAACATCAAAATAGCTGGTAAATGGATGTTCATCCCCCTAAAAATGGTATTAATAGGTATTGATCCATACCCATTTGAGCCATTAAAGAATACCTGGGTGGATGGGTTAACAGAGGAAATTGTACTAACTGGCTTATCAGGTAGCATTATAATTTTTATATATTCTTATTAGGCCTATCAACCAACTAGTAAGATTGGCAAACTATGGGAAATATCTGGGCGTTCACTATGAAAAATCAGGTATAACCAACAATTAATGGAATATTAATGGACATACCATGGGAACTACCGTGGTTTACACCCTCTGGTAATTTCACGTAGCTATATAGAGGATTTCTCATTGCCATGTTTGATTACCAGAGAGTATCAATCAAATTCTACTCATCAAGACAGAGAGCCACGCTGAACATGCTTCCGATGTTCTACTTTCGTCCACTTTCCACGTGTTTTTGTTTCCTTCAAAACCCCTGTTGGTTAAGGATTTGTCCGGTTATTAACCTACCTTTTATATTCGTTGGGGATAATCAAACCTTCCAGTGAATAAACATATTTGTGAAACATGGTGTTTTTTTTCACTATTTTGGATCATCCATGAACTGGGAATCCCTTTGTTTAAACCAGCCATGGCCATAACTAGGGGTTTCCTGAAATAATGGGGGTACCCCAATAGCCAATAGCTGGTTTACAAGGGAAAAAACCTACTACTGTACTAAAATAGATGATCACTGGGGGTAGCCTCTGGTAATGACTAACATAGCTATTGAAAATGGCCATAGAAATAGTGGATTTTCCCATTAAAAATGGTGGATCTTTCCATAGTTATGTAAACGTTTACCAGAGGTTTTTCCATATGTTCACCACGATTTCCATATGTTTACAAGGGAAAAAACCTACTAAAATCGATGATCACTGGGGGTAGCCCTAGAAACCTCCAACTTTTTTTCAGGTAGCGAACAGACTTTGGCGGGCGACTGCAGTAGCGATGCAGTGATGCAGCTGGACTTCTTGTACGCTTCACCTTTGCACTGGGGCACCTTTGGCGAAAAGCACAAGCGCCCACTGTTGAAGCGAAAGCCGTTGGGAAGGTAGAGAAGTAAAACATAGCAAAGCTATCTTGTATTATAGCCGTTTCAATGGAGACATTTCATTTTGTGTATGTGTATATATATGCATATAACTGGCCTAAGGTTAAGGAAGTCAAAAAGTGACAAGATGTTTTTTGAGAATATTTGTTGGGTTCCATTGACTCAATATGATTCCAATAATTGATGTTCATTATTGTTACTACCCGAGTTCAACTGTTCAATGTTTGAATAATAACACCCCGGTTCAATGTTGAACTATTAGTACTAAGACCACTAATGGAAGAAATTTTCACTTTAGGCACTTAACGAACTTATAAGTATCTGATAAGTTGCTAGTATCTTGCTAATATCTTGTTTAAATTATTTTTTTAAAATTAATTTTGAGTTAAGTTTCACTAATTTTTTATTGAGTTTATTACATAATAATGAAGATATAATCAAATATATTCGAATATTAGTGAAAAATATCTGAAAATATATTTGAAAATATCTGAAAATACCTGAAAATATCTGAAAATAGCTGGAAATCATTTTTTTTTGTTTTGTTTTCATTTCGAAGTTGCTGCCCAGGAATAGTTGGAGAAATAGATACCTGAAAACTATGGTTCCTGTAAAGGAAAGTTCCAGTAAAGGAGATACCATCCTTTTCAGGAACTCTCCTTTGCTGGAACTTTCCTTTACAGGAACCATCCTTTTCAGGAACTCTCCTTTACTGGAACTTTCCTTTACAGGAATCATGGTTTTCAGGCACTTTCCTTTGCTGGAACTTTCCTTTACAGGAACCATAGTTTTCAGGAACCCTCCTTTGCTGGAATTTTCCTTTACAGGAATTATGGTTTTCAGGCACTCTCCTTTGCTGGAACTTTCCTTTACAGGAGCCATCCTTTTCAGGAACTCTCCTTTGCTGGAACTTTCCTTTACAAGAGCCATCCTTTTCAGGAATCCTGCAAAGGAAAGTTCCAGTAAAGGAAAGGTCCCAAAACGGAGCCTACTTTAAGCTAATTTATCTTGAATAAAGGAGAGTTTTCTGAAAATTCAGGTTCTTGAAAAGGAAAACTCAAACTTGAGAAAATTCAGACACTTCCAGCAAAGGAGGGTTCCTGAAAACTATGGTTCCTGTAAAGGAAAGTTCCAGCAAAGGAAAGTGCCTGAAAACCATGATTCCTGTAAAGGAAAGTTCCAGTAAAGGAGAGTTCCTGAAAACCATGATTCCTGTAAAGGAAAGTTCCAGCAAAGGAGAGTTCCTGAAAAGGATGGTTCCTGTAAAGGATGGTTCCTGTAAAGGAAAGTTCCAGCAAAAGAGAGTTCCTGAAAAGGATGGTATATCCTTTACTGGAACTTTCCTTTACAGGAACCATAGTTTTCAGGTATCTATTTCTCCAACTATTCCTGGGCAGCAACTTCGAAATGAAAACAAAACAAAAAAATGATTTCCAGCTATTTTCAGATATTTTCAGGTATTTTCAGATATTTTCAAATATATTTTCAGATATTTTTCACTAATATTCGAATATATTTGATTATATCTTCATTATTATGTAATAAACTCAAATAAAAAATAGTGAAACTTAACTCAAAATTATTTTTTTAAAAAACATTTTAAACAAGATATTAGCAAGATACTAGCAACTTATCAGATACTTATAAGTTCGTTAAGTGCCTGAAGTGAAAATTTCTTCCATTAGTGGTCTTAGTACTAATAGTTCAACATTGAACCGGGGTGTTATTATTCAAACATTGAACAGTTGAACTCGGGTAATAACAATAATGAACATCAATTATTGGAATCATATTGAGTCAATGGCGGTTGTGGATGGAACCCAGCAAATATTCCCAAAAAACATCTTGTCACTTTTTGACTTCCTTAACCTTAGGCCAGATAACTATTCATATATATATATATATCACCAGCAACACCAACTGGCTTCAGCTCAAGATGATGCACCCCCAACAATTTGGAATGTTACAGACCAGATCCAAAATTCGACCACAATTGTCGTTCCAGATTTTTTAGACCATAATTTGCGATGACTTACTGCAGTATTTGCTGAAAGCCGAAAACCCCAAACATCCCCAAACAAAAACCTTGATGGAATCATGTATATATATATTACAATTATATATATATTACAATTATATATATATTATATATGTTATATATTATATATATATATATATTATAAATATCATATGTATATCACATTGTTTTCAAATTACAGCAAAACAGAGATGTAATATACATCCCAGAGATGGTTTTACAGGGAGAATCTGCAGGACCCCCCTATGTGCCGGCTCTTTCAGCCATGGCAGGTAGTTTGCCTTTGAACAGCTTAGACATCATGTCGGAGCTGCAGGTGCACAGCTGTGTCAGAAACTACCAGCTACTTAGCGCCGTCTGTTGGCGCGCGCAAGGAATAGACCATGACAGATGGAACACATCCTATTGTTCTTTACATTTCAAGTCCTTTTCAGTCATGTTTGGTGAAATACTTGTAGGCAAGGCTGGAGTTGTTCCTGTGATGTTTCTCCACAGTGGAGGCAGCAGTGCATCAGGTCGTCGTTGTCACCATCACCTTCACCTTTATCATAGAGGATGTCAACCACATACACTGAACATATATATATATATCATAGAGTATCCCAGTTAAATCTAATGCACATATACTGAACATATTCCTCACTTCGACCCAATTTTGGCTGTCAGATGCCAAACCAATCCAAGGCCATCATCTAGGATTACCTCCGGGGTCCAGATTAGCATTGCCCAATTGCTTGGGTGATAACGTCAACATCATACAAGATGGGCACCTCAAATGAGAGCTAAGTTCTTCGAAATAGCGAATTACCTCATACTACGTCCGCGATTCTTAGTTTGTGCTAGATATATTGAACTAGTTAATTAATGGGGTCCAACTAAACCAACACACACAACTGGGGGGCACTTTGTATAAGATCATGAAGTTTCTGGCCAGCGTAACCTCTACCTGGGAGGATGATACCAGCAATACCAGCAACCAGTCTCCCGTTTCTAAAGAAATCCCTTAGCATTTGGTAATTCAACAGTTTGCCATGCAAAATGGATGAACAAATCAATGTAAATCAAGTTCGATGATTCTATATGAATGATCTATTCAAAATGCTGAGATTTTCCAGTTCGCAAACCATGAGTTCTACTGGAGGATACCATCCAGTAAATGTTTAGATATCTATGCAAAATCACAATGTTTAGTAGATAATTCATCTATAAATCATCTATCAATCATAGATCTATTTAATCATCCATAAATCAGCCTTTTTAATATAGCTAAATCATGGTAAATCAATGTAAATCATCGATAGATGTGCGGTTTTTCGCCATGCGTCAGGCACTACGTGGCATTGTGGGCATTTCGCCACGGATCGAAGTGGCCACCATGGAATCTCTTCAGGTGTGGCGAACGTGGCGAAATCGACAAATCCCGGAATCCCAAGGGAAAATCCATGGGAAAATACAGGCTATATCGGATATGATATATATATATATATGATATTCTGAATGAAATATATCATGATTTTTTTCATTTCTGTAAATTATATCCATTCAGAATATCATATCCGATATAGCCTGTATTTTATAATGGATATGACGCATATCAGCCTGATTTATAAATCCATTTGATATACTGTAAACTAAGACTATGAATGGAAACGAATTAAATGAACACTAAATGCGAAGTGCGGGGTCAAAGATGGAGCTGGAGGTAAATGATGGCGCCTTCGCAATGACTTCATCATTCATCATAGATAAATGAGATGAGGCCACGAAATACGGCGTGTTTCAACAATCAGTCTCTATTCTAAAAGCCAACAAACTCTGGAACAATGCTCATTGCGATGGGCTCAATTTGTGTACACTTTCATGATGCCCAATGTACCCTTAATTTCATTGGTTGGTAGCCTTCTGGAAACGCACTCTGTTCATTCTGTAAACATCATATCGCAACCTCCAATCAGCCCTTCTAGACGTCGTGATTCACTCACCCGTGTTTCTTGTGACGGTGCCAGACCAGTACGCTTGCATTTCCGCAGCTAATGAACCTTTGAGCCAGGAAAAAGTCTAATCCTAGATAGATACGTGATTTATCGCTCTTTTAGTAATTAGGATTTTATTAATTTTCTGTCCTTTTTGGGTTATTCTACACATCTCATGTTGATGACCCACCTAACAACCTCCGGCCCCCCTTTCAGTCAAAAGAGCCGCTCAACTCCCGAAAACCAACACCCATTGGCAATTTCCATCAGGATGCACTCCTCCGCAAGGCAGAGCTTCCCACGGTGTAGCTTGGAAGGTGTTGGGGAAGGTGGTTTCAAATATGGCTGGATGGGAAGATTCCAAGATTCCTGAGCTAAATGGCTGCTTCACCAACAATTGAAGATGGGAAATTATAGTTGAATCTGAATTGTGATAGCTAAGTTGGCGGCTGAAGCAACTGTTATGTAACTTATATAAAGTTAGCTTTATTTTATAGGCTTCTGGTAGATGTAGAACTAGTTAACTAGTTCACAGGGGTTGTAAGCCAACAAACATAACATGGAAAGCTGATGAAAACTTGTAAATCTCTGAAGAAAATGGGGGTTTTGGGCTGGGAAAATCATCGAACTACTGTATATTTCTGGGATGGGGACTGTGGGACCATTGGGACCATAAGAAATCGCTGTGCAGACAGGTGAAGCCAAGCAACTCGCGTTTCTGTCTTTGGGTTGGTAGGGACAGGAAACCCGAGTTGCCTGAGTTGTTTTCCCATGGCAATAGATGTTGATAGGTAGAAACTGGAGAAAGCGTCCATTTTTTCCCACGCCTTTCCCATGTCTTTCCCTTCTCTGACCGGCCGCCTAAGGCTTCACCTGTCCGCGCATATCGGCACGCCCATGCTGCCACTGAAACCCCAACTCCTCTTGGAGGCGGGAAATGGTGAGCCATAGATGGAGCCACAAAAGGATAGATAGAACAGTAATAGAAACATGACCATACATGATCTATTATGAAGATCACCCCAACAAGATAGAAATTGGTAAAATCCGTTTCTGAAATAATTACTGATGATTTGCTCTTCAGCATCGTTTTGGGGGTACTAGGCATTTTTCTGTGTTGGCGTGCGTTAGTCATCAGCCGATAAACCCGAGGGCACAACTCAACCTGTCATTCTCGTAGCTATTTGTCGATGAAAAAACCTCCAGTGAATTAACATAGGCCCTGCCAGATAGGGGTTGGAAGATAAGTTTCTACTAAAATTGGCTATGTTCAGGGTCTATATGTTAATTTACCAGAGGGTAATGTGATTGTAATCATCAGCATTACTAGTCAGAGCGCTGTTCAATGTAACTCTGAATGTTGTCACAGTTTACAGCGTATTTTATTGTTATTACATGTTATTACGATATATTATGGTGATGTAGTGGATTATATTGGATTATCATAGAGTAACATGAGTCATATACAGTAGCTTCTCAAAAAGCTTCCATTTACCTGTATTTCAGCAGCAATTTCGGCATGCCGAAATTGTTTTTCTCCATCTTTCTTGGCTTTGCCTCACCACCAGTTAGTCCAGGTGGTTCACGTATGGTTGTGACGGTTTAGTTTCCAGAACGACTAGTTCATTATAAACCATCGAATTCACCAACGTATTTAAACATATTTCAACCTATTTCAACCAACTTGCCACATAAATCAATGCAAAATTCCCGGTGAAGTTGGTCAAATCTGCCTAGGACCAGCGCGGCGTGGCGCACGCCTTATGTGAAGATGCCTTAGCTCCCTTGGCGTCCTGGGAGGCATCAAAATCCGAAGATGTGGGGTGAACTCCATGGCTTATGGTATAACTATGGTAAAACTATGGTATATGTAACTATAATTAACTATATATGGTTTATTAGATGAATTCTATGATTCACTATGGTTTATGGTAGATATAAGTATACTTCATGGATGTTACACTATGAATATCTATTGTTTGTGGTAGATATAACACGAGTATTCAGGTGGTTTGTTATCTGTATCCTCTATTAGCCATAGGGAGCCAGTTGGAGCTACGATCGGAGTTTCCCAACCACATGATATTGCATGAAACATGGGATTTTATGGTGATTCCAATGTGATTTAAGCAACAGACCAGGGGGGATTTGAACCATGGGAAATACCGTACCTGATATGAGGATTTTTTACTGATTAAAATGATCCAGGATTTTTAGAAGCTGTTGGGCAACCATGAACCAAATATAATCTGGGGAGCACATGTTTTTTCTCTCAAGGGTCCTTGAGTTGTTGTAGTTACGATGGGTTACGAAGCTATTTGGTTATGAACCTACCTGGGTTGTTGATGTTTTTTTGGGGATGCCGAGCTGACCCATCATGGGACCCTTGCCCTCAATTGATGGATGGAAGAAAACTGTAGATATCCACCGTGGTAAACCAACGTAATAACACCAGTTTCTTTTGTTTAAGCGTTTAAGCCTTGAAACATGGGTTTTCTGTACTTTCTCCATAGAGAGATCTCGGATACATTCCCCACTCTCCTCAGTGCTTCAGTATTATCATGATTTCAGGTATTTTCTTGTGTTCACCCTCCCATCCATTCCTGCAAAGTGTGGGCCAGGGGTTAGATAGTCAATCGGTCGAAGGAGAAATGTACATGATATCAAGTCTTTGTAACCCTCACATATGTATATGTACATCCATATCTCTATATATAGAGGAGATCATCATTAAATCCCAAACGTTTCTATCATCCGCTCTGTCTCCTCGGGTTAAAAAGGCCTTGGTCGGTCCAAACTGGGAGGCTGAAGCCGCCAGTGGTGCAAGTTGGCTCTTTGTTTTCCTGGCATGTGGTTCTAAGCAGATGGTGGAGCATTTGTGGCTTGGCACGTAGCCCGTGTAGGCAGCCCTGGGGATGTTGATGCTTTGTGACAAAAAAAGGTGCAGGAACTGGTAACTTCTGCAAGGATTTCAAATCAGCATCTGTATATTATATGTATTGTATATATATACATAGTAAATACATATACATATATATAATATCTGATATGATATCTGATATATGATATATGATATATATGATAGATGATATATATGATATATGATATATGATATATATATAATATATGATATATATCCTGTTATGTTTGATTTACCAAATGATAAGAAATGCAGCGTTCGGCATCTTTTGAATCTGGATCTTGGGCTCCGTGGGGATGATCCATTTGAGGCTCATGTTACAGTACATCCCAATGCATTGGGCTATAGAAATGCCATAAATCATGGAAAATCATGGAATGGATTAATGGATTATTCATAAATATTAGGTATAATCTTGGTATATATTAATCATTGGTATATTATAATCATTGGAGATTATATATTAATCATTGGTATATTTATCTAATGATTAATATACCAAGATTATGATTGACAAAAAGCATTGGGACCACTAAAAAATCCCAGGGGTCAGCCCCGGTCACCTCTCTTAGGATGCAGAGTGCCGGCCTGCGGCATGCCATTTGCTGTGCCGGAGACGTGCTGGACGCGGCCGCACGGGTCTTTTGCCGAGTGGCTTGGAGCGTCGACGCTGGGAACACCGGACGATGTGTGTAGGATGTGAATCACATGATGTGAATATCAAATCGGTAAAATGCGACAGAGTTCAAGTATAACCCATAGGATCCATGTATGCTATATATGGATATATATGGTAACATTTACCATCAATATACCCCCAATGTTACCATATATACCATACATGGATCCTATGGGTAATAGATACAATATTACATGCGAACGTATCACACACACACACATTAGATATTAATTACATATTATGCATATCATTACAACATACTACAACATAGGATAATTGATGTGACCAACTGGCTTTTGATTTGAAACATACGTATCTTCAATGGGTATTGTCAAGGCCAATCATGGAGGTTCAAATACCCAATGTGTCTGAAATCAGTACGAGGGCACTAGGGGTTGGGTGACCAGCCCAAAGAAGGCGTTTTGATGCGTTTCGGCCTTGTATACATGGCTTCTGGACCGTTTTCGATCCCATTTGCCAATTCCAATCACATTTCTGGATTGAGTGTACAATCCATTGATAGCAAACCTCAGTCACTGTACCATTTGTTACATGTCTACACTGATGATTTGGTACATGTTCAATATACGTTCAACTACACATACATATATACAATTATATACATATAATATGATATACGATATGTGAGCTGAGCTCATGATTCATATGATTCACATGTAATTTAATGTATCTTTTCAGAATCGGACTTTCTTTTCGTTGCGACCAGCTTGGCCTTTTGTTTTTTTTTTTTCTGGAGGCCTTCTACAAGGCCTTGGCGGCGGGAAAAAGTGTGGTGGAGAGCCATGCCGTGGCACAAGCCTCTGTCCGGCACAGCGCCAATTTGGGCATTCGCCACGAATCGGCGTCTTGGATTCCGTGGATCCCAGAGGTGGCAACGCGTAACCCCCATATATATGGTACAAAATGGGTAAGACCATGGTAAAACCATGTAGGTTTTCCCTGAAGCCAATCCATTGATTGGAACTTTGCAGGAAACCTTCGAAGTTTGGCAGGATTTTAGATTGCGCCAGGAGAAATGCGGATACACACATGATATGATGTTGATGTGTATGGATTTGAACATGGTTGGGGGCATGGAAACTGTGGAATAACATTTATATCCATTGAAACAGGACATCCATGAAGTAGCAAAAAGATGAGGACTCTATCCATTGAACCAGAATCACGTGAGTACATACTGGTCTGAATTCCTTACAATCGTAGACGGACCGGCTAAATCCCTATGTTTGATGGTTAATTTCCACATGTTTCACCATTTTTTATTGCTCAAACCGTACATTTCCAGACCACACCCGCGTGCTGGATATTCCTCTAGTTGTAAATGCAATGTCTCCCCCATCTCATTCAACAAGTCTTTCGAGTGACGTGCTTGCTCGGTGAATATCCTGTGCATGAGTTGGCCGACCCCCAGTCCCATTTTTGTTTGAGGTACAAGGGCCCCCTAGATAGCGTGGCTGAAAAGTAGATAAATCATGGTTTATGCTAGATGTATCATGATATAGATCATTGATGATTGTTTACACACCAACCTGTATTTTGGGGGCACCACCGCACCACCTTGCATGTGAGATAGGGTTGCGAGCCACATACCTGAGAGCGACCTCTTGTCGTTGATATAACCAAAATTGAGGCGGGATTTAAGTACTAGTTGACAACAATTCGAGCAACAATAATGCGGATCGGACAAACACAAAAAATGTCATCAAACAATTCTATGCCAGTATACTATTACCAATCACAATAGAGAGGTTGCATCAGAGATAGTGAATTACCACTTTCAGATGTTTTTGTTGCTGAAACAATAGAACAAGGATCAGATAAACAACTGTAGTTTTTGTTGTTTAGAATAGAAAGAAACAACGACATAATCTGCTGATTTCGCATGGACCCGTCGCTTCTTGTTTCGACCAGCCGCGCCACGTCGCGGCCACCGTTCTGAAGGAGAAATTCCTCTACCTTGTGAAGTCGGAGATCGATAGCCCCGTCGATATCGACCGGATCGTGGCTTGGCTGACTGGATGAAGAAAATATCCCAGGACGATAAGGGAAACCCCTAAAGCCTGTAGATATTCTATATGTTTAGTTTCTTTTCTTTCTGTAGCTACTTTTGTAATAATTATACATGCAATTACATACACATATATAGAATTATACAGATATGCATAGAGAATGCTTAAAAACTTTAGATTAAAACAGGAAATTGGACAACCACATAGTCTAAACCAACTCAACATGGAGATCTCACCAGCCTATCTTCTCAGTCCTCCCCCTTGATCAATCGGATGATAGACACCCTGACGGAAGGGTTGCGTATTTTTGAAATGCCATGTCGGTGGACTTTCAATATGTAGATGTACGTGTGATCCATGATCATCATCATAATCATAATCAGAATCATAATCATCGTCATCACCATCACCGTCATCGTCATCGTCATCATCATCGTCATCGTCATCATCGTCATCATCGTCATTATCGTCATCATCATCATCATAATAATAATCATCATCATCATCATCACCATCCCTTATGAAGATAAGTTGATGCTATTATCTATTAGCAGATTCAGCATATTTGCCACTGGAGGTGGAATATTTTTCATTCCTGATGAATATATGTTGATGCTATTTTCAGATTCAGCATATTTGTCAAAGGGTGTTGTGGATTTGTTGATCCCTTATGAAGATAAGTTGATGTTATTCCTTATTCAACATATTTGTCGGAGGGGGTGGTGGAATTTTGGCCCCTTACGAAGATAAGTTGATGTTATTGAGTATTCAACATAGTTGTCGGATGTTGATCTCTTATGAAGATAAGTGGGTGTGATTACCCCATTTAACATCTTTGTTATAGGGGGCGTTGGATTTTTGATCCCCTATGAAGATGAGTTGATGTGATTATACCACTCAGCATATTTGCCAGAGGGGGTGGTGGATTTTTGGTCCCTTACGAAGATAAGTTGATGTGATTACACCATTTAGCATATTTATCATACAGTAGGGGGTGGCGGATTTATGATCCCTTATGACTATAAGACATAAAAGTTGATGATATTACCCCATTCCACGTGAGTTGACACTGGTGATGATGATGATGATGATGGTGGTGATGATGATGAGGAGGAGGATTGTAAGTGTGGAGCAAACGTCTGGGTTGGACGGAACCTGTTAAATCAATATGTAGACAGATCGATCGATAGATCGATAAATCAATAGATAGATAGATACTTAGACATATGGCCATATTTATACATATATATATATATATGAATGTTATATCACATATCTATGTCTATAAGCTAATAAGCTATATCTTTTCCCGTCCATGTGACATGTCCTTTGGATCATTCGCTGAGACCCGCGTGAAAACGGCCCCTTGGATCTCATGGCCTTTGTGGCCGCGCGTGGAGGCGCAGCTGTCGGAACCTGTCGAAAGTCGGGGGTTGACATCCAGAATGGATGGTTCGTTTGGGAAGATCCCAATAAAATGGCTGATTTGGAGATAGTGTACTTCTATTTTCGGAAACATACTTCTGGTAGATTTTAATATAATATAACACAAAAAACAATCATTTTTCATGTTTCAACCATAGTTTGGACACCAGGCCATATTAACCCCAGGTTTTCAGAGGAAAAATGCTGCTTCAACCATCAAGGAGAAGGAATTAACTTGACTCAATGAACCAACCAAATTATAGAATGAGTATTTGACCAACGACCAACGTATTTGATTTAAAAGGTTTCGTTGCTCAGAAACCACCAAAACTTGCTTACCCTCTGGTAAACTAACATAGCTATTGAAAATGGTCATTTATACTGAGTTTTCCCATTAAAAATGGTGGATCTTTCCATAGCTATGTTAGTTTACCAGAGGGTAACACTTAATCCATGGAGATTGGACGAAACTTTGGGATTTCACCCAAAGAACTGGAGATTTTCCACCGCTTTTTTTCATCTTACCGATCACCTTGGTTATCACTTAGGCTTCCTGCAATGGTCCTCCATCTTGGTCTTGCCTACCACCCCCCTTCCCGTTTTGTCGTTTATATCACCGTTTAAAACCCATTTATATCGCTTTATATATCCATTTGTACTGGTTCCCATCCTGGTGTCCGCACACTTTTCTTCAATTTTTTACAGTTCGACTTTACACCAGCATGTTTGACTTAACCCGCGCACCAAGTAACAATTCATAGGGCTTTGGGATTGGATGACTTCCCATATACATACCATAGTATCATAATATGATATATGCATACACATTATATCACAGTATACATTCATTATACACCATTATACACTATACATATATATATATTACCATGATATCCCAATGGTACATCTCGAGTTTTGAAAAGTCGTGTGACTGAAAATGGTGTATACCACCAAATGGTTATTTTAATTTTTAATAGTATACGTGGTGATTCACCAATGGATTTAAGGTTCTCTCTGAAGACAAACACACATATTATGGAATACAGATCGGCTTTTTTTTTATTATAATGTTACCATGACCTCCCCCTTCTAGATCCCGAAAATGTATCTTCCCATTTACATAAATATGTTTTGGATTGTTTTATTTACATACCTATCAATACAATTTCAATCTATATAGTCCCATGAATATTCCATTCATATCCCCTTATATACCCATGATTTTCCGACATATGTATATCATCATACATTCCATCAGTTTCCATTAATGCCAGGTTTGGTATATATAATATACACATTTTTTACTATACATTAATTGATATTGATATATACATATATATATATATATCCATTATAATATATATATATATATTATATCTATTACCATGATATCCCCATGATACACACCCCATTTTCCCACATCTTTGGGGTTGCAGCCAGAGAGCCTTCCTTGGGGCTCCCTGCCAGGACTATGCAGCCTGTCGTTTGATCGACAGCTGCCGCATCGCCAATGCCTTCAAGGACCGTCGTGTGGTGCTGGTCCTGGGGGTGGCTCGGCAGCGGAGCGGTTGGTGGCAGATTGGTGGGAAAAGGTGGGAAAACGCGGCAGAATTCATAGCGAACTTTTCATCACCCCAATTGAATGGGATTCATTGACATATATGTATACATATACATATATATATATATATAAATATGATTGAAGCATCACATATATAACTAAGAAATGATGGTTGGTTGATGATTTTAGGGGATTCCACTAACATACTAACAGAGTTTGATTGGGTATTATCAATTATCACGATCCATTAGGGGAATCCATGGGAATCCCGTTCTCAACAGGTTTTGCTTGACCTGGCAGGCAACTCCATTGACCCCAGATGCCATGATGTTGCATGAAAGATGTGTAGTTTTCCGAAGAGCCTGGAAACCAAAGGTCGTTTGGATGCTCAATTCTTTGCCTGTTCTGGTCACTACTTCAATTCAGTTTTCCATCGTCTCAAATTTTCATCGATGTTCTCTGACAATTTTTGTTGGTATTATAAGTATTGGTGTGCTTTTACATAGACCTTGATTGTCTTTACCTCAAGCTGCAAACTTCCTCCCGGTCAAATTTTCCTCACTGGCTACATCTGCAAAGAACCGGACACTCTTTACAGATAATTAATCTGACCGCGGCCGACTACTTACTCACTTGTTCAATGTGGCAAACTCAACACGAAGCCATCTCCAATTTTCAGTGATCTGGTCAGTTCGGTACTGTAAATGGCAAATATGGTTAATCGCAGTATGAAGATTCCCTGTAATATGGTTAATCGGGTGTTTGCTAGGAGTTAGCCCCGAAAGTGTTGAATCTTGACCAGTTTAAGTTTATGACATGGGGTATACCGTATACCCTGATGATAATGGGATTATGTTGGGGATTAAATTAGATGTTTTACATGACCCTGAAATGAATGTTTGCTGGATTGTTTTGTGGCATTGGGTTTACTCTATGACATATGCAATCACTGATGCAAAGGACGAAATCCTTGCAGATCAAATGGATACTGCGCACCAGATTGACTAGTTTAGCTGCGAAAGGTGATGATAAAATAATGAGATGAGACACCGGAAGAAAGCTTATTGGAGTTAACTCCAAGAAATTTAGGCTTCCAGGCTTCCCCTCCGGGTTCCCCAGACCTTTCATGGTATTCAGTCCGGCAGCGCTCCTTTCGGCCCTAAGGATCAGGGGATTGGAAAGTCAGACGCTTGGCGCTTTTGAACAGCTCTTAAGATTTTCCCCAGATCTGTATGAATCTATGCAATTTATTTGACGGCATCTAATAAAAACATATACAAGCCATATACGACATTTTTCCTTGTCCACCAAATGCAAGGAGTGTCCTGATGTTTTCTGCGTTTTCAAACGTTTGCTGTGTCAATCTGTCTTCATGGTTTCCCACGACCGAGAATTGCTGCGGTGATGTGCGTAACGCAGGTCATGCGTTTTTGTGTCTCATAGTTGCCATCATTATGCGATGTTCAGTTCCCAACTAGAATTGCTGGTTGGTGGTTTGGTACATGACTTTTATATACTTTTATGACTTTCCATATATTGGGAATAATGATCCCAGCTGACTAATATTTTTCAGAGGGGTTGAAACCACCAACCAGATCGCGAAATCAATATTGGCCAGTTCCAATCAATGTAACTCAAACATGGTATGATATGCATATATCTGGATGAATTGTAATGACATCTCTGCGATGATGGGAATTGGATACAGGGAATCAGCCCCAAGTTTCAGCCATGTTCATGTTGATGAATCATGCATTTATAGATGATTTTCCCAGCTATAAACATCTTGGGGATTTCCCATGAGATTCATATGAGTAACCGAGAAAATTGGTTGTAATACTAATTTTGTCTTGCTTCGCCTTGGTCTTTCTGAGGTTGCACAAAACTTTCATAACCGATAGGGGACGACCCTATACCGATACCCCATTTGTGATACCTCCGGGAGTACTGAAATCCTCACAACCGATAGGGGACGACCCTAATTTGTGCATGGCATTATCTAAATTGAGCAAATCATTTTGTCCGCTACTCATATGTATTCATATCATATCCCATGATGTTCTTATCATCTCTAGCCACCCGAACACGTCCAGGCCATGTGTCGCGAGTTTTGCGCCTACTTCTCCGCCCCGGGCCGTCTCTTCTCGGATCGGGCCCTACTGCTCGACGAGGCAAAGGGGTGATTTTTGGGGATCCGGCGATACGGATTTCACGCGACAAAATTGGTGTTTTTTTCCAACAGGCAAACTGGATCACTGGATCAATATATGGGCAGTTGATCTAACCAACAGAAATATATCATGTGGCGCAATATATGGGTAATTCATGGCAATTATAGGTTGAAACATGTTGAAATCATAAACATGGGCTATATATGTAAACAATAAAAACAATGGAGATCACCCGCTCACAAGTGGTCACTATTGAAGACCCAAGGCACCACAAATGGACTGTTTGTGCGTCTATTTGTCCATACACCTATCCCAATCTGTGGGTGTTTGTAGAAAGTTTTCAGCTATTCCCAAATAGACAGGCACTTTGTATCACTTTGTGCCAAGAGGAAACAGATCTTAAGTTTGGACATCTTGAGATTGACCTTTCAAGGTGAGACCTCCAGTAGCTAAGTTGATTTAAACCCATATAGGTTAACTATGGTTAACTATATGTTCAATCATCAGTTGCGGCCCAGACATCCTTCTGCACGACCAACGAAGTGGACAAGTCCACGCACGTCACTTGCCGGGGAATCACCAACAGTTGGTGTTGCTCGCAGTCAATCACCAATTTTGTTGGTGATATTCCCATCATCATCATCATCATCATCATCATCATCATCATCATCATCATCATCATCATCATCATCATCATCATTCCCCTGTCACACTTAGTTTATGGCTTGCCCAACCACCTTTGTCCTGAGAACTCTCAAGGTGGCCTCCATCATCTCTTCGAAGCTCTCTGAGCAGCTGGCTTCCACGGCGGATCCGATCTCGCCGATGCCCACGGACGTGCTGCAGCTGGTGAAAAGCATGGACCAACTGGGACTTTGGCTGCTGGCTGTGGATGGCCTATCTGAGATGTCCCACTTAAGTCCAGACCTCAGGAAACTCTGGAGCTTTGAGGATTTTCGGGGCGGTCCTAGGGTGGTCCTAGATTTCTACAAACGGATTTGAATTTTGTTGTTTGAATGTTTTGATGTTTTTTCCCGTTATCTTGTTCCAGAATCCCAGGAGGTATCAGAGTATCAGATGCCATGGAATCTCAAAATCAACACTACAGCTACTTATCTTAGCCGCGGTTAGCTGGTTGTGTTGGGTGGTGTTGGATTCAATGACCCATGTACAACTGGGGATATTCCATATATAGAACTGGGTTATCGTACCCTCCCAACTAATATCGGCCCTGCCAAACTGGTTGATTCTCAGAGTCAAACACCATTTTCCACGCTTAGACCATATTCCTTTATGCTTGCCCTCTGGTAATTTAACATAGCTATTGAACATGGCCATTTATAATGAGTTTTCCCATTGATTAAACATGGTGATTTTCCATAGTTATGTTAGTTTACCAGAGGGTAAATCCCCATAGCAAGTTATAGATTCACTATTCTTGGCTAGACATCTCTAAACATCCAATCTATCAATGTTTTTTTCATCATTAAAACATCCCTGGTTGGTGGTTTCAAACATGACTTTTATTTTCCATTTCATATATGGGATGTCATCATATTTTTCCATTGACTTTCATATTTTTCAGAAGGGTAGGTCAACCACCAACGAGATCCTAAGAAATCAACCTGTTTTTGTAAGGTCAAGAGCTCATCGCACAGCTGGACGCAATGCTGCGCTCCAGCAGTTCCATGAAGTTGCTCTTGACCTCTCGGCATCGCGTGCCGCTGGGCCAACGCCGAACGGAACCGCCGGGTTCGCTGTTTTGAACAACGCCATGGGTTGAGATAGATGAACATTGCCATAGAAATAGTTGATTTATGTTGATTTACCCATGTGAAAAATGATGATTTCGGGGTTTCCCCCATTTTCTTACTGGTGCTAAACGCAGGGAATGGATGGGAATGATCCATAATCACTAGTAATTATGTAATAATCATCCCAGCAACCCCCAGCAAGCCATCCATTCCCTACGTTTAGCACCAGTAAGTAAACATTGCCATAGAAATAGTTGATTAATGTTGATTTACCCATGGAAAAAAATGTGATTTTCGTTTACCAGAGGGCAAGTGTTTTAAGATGTTAAGTCATCAAAAAAGGAGAATTTATCGAGGGGATTTCGAATGGGTATCACTAAACATAGGAAATATTAAAGGAATATCAATGGAGATTACTTTGATTTAATAGTGATTTATAGTTTGACCATCACACTTTTTGTACCGGCACAAAGTGGGTTCAAGTTCAAGGTATGTTTGTACAGAGATGTGACATGTGTATCTTACCTTGAAATAGAACTAGGCTAGAACATATTCGCATGCGGACCTGGGACACTCCATATTTATACCTGGGACATACTGTACTAACTGAAACTATGCTCTAGCTGTTCTGAGCCCTGCAGATCAAGGTGTTCCTCATGATATACGTCCCGTATATCCAAGGATATCCAAGGTAATTCCCTATGGTTTTCCACAACATTCCATGTATCAGGCATATAGTCTTGTGGCAGTATTGCCAATGTACATCGACACTTTTCTAATATATCTAATATCAATCAATCTTGTTGTCAAACAATAGTTTCCCATTATTCCAAATCCCAAAACACCGATTTTGGTTGATATAATAAAGCATATAACACGCCAACATCCACCAAATGTCGTGGGTAAGTATACATATATATATATATGCATCCAAAATCCACCAGTGTTTGTTGGTGAAAACAAAAGAAAACAAAAAACACACAAATTGGTTGGTGAAAAATTCGGAAATCTCCCAAGTTATCCTTGGTTAACACCATTTTTGAAGTTCCACCAGCTGGAAACAACTCAGGCCCCTCATTGCTGAGACGGTGGGCTTCAGTGGCTTCCGAGCTGCTAAGGCGGAGAATCTGAGGGTGGGGTACGCTCGGGTGGCAGGACTTACTTATTTTGGGTGGTGGGCTACATTGATAATATATGAATATATACATATGGTGATGATAATAATAATGATAATAATAATGATAATAATGATAATAATAATGATAATAATGATAATAATAATAATATGTATACACTATACTTGAGTATATATATACATATATATATACATATATATATACATTATATATATATACAATCTCTATTAATCTATTAATCTATTAATCTATTAATCTATAAATCTAACTACCTAACTACCTATCTACCTATCTACCTATCTACCTATCTATCTATCTATCTACCTAATTACCTATCTACCTATCTACCTATCTACCTATCTACCTATCTACCTATCTACCTATCTATCTATCTATCTATCTATCTATCTATCTCTCTCTCTATCTCTCTATCTCTCTATCTCTCTTTTTGTCTGTCTGTCTGTCTATTACTTTGTTTATTGATGGCAAACTGTATTTTGGTATTTCCCTTTCCCATATCAGGGTATGCCCCGATCTATGGGATGGCTCAGAACACAACCCCCCTCAAGCGGTCAGTTACACAGATGTTCCCCTGAAAATTTGAGATGGATGGTTTTGTGTAACAGAATTTCACATTAAAAAATGGCAAAACCATCCAAATTCTCTGCAATGTTACCCGGTCAGTCTTGCATAATTTGGATGGTTTTGCCATTTTTTACTGGCTACCTTTCGGGAATCAAACATGGCAGTGAACAAAATCCACCTTTCCATTATTTGTCCAGCCTCCATTCATTTTGCTCAGAGATTTCCAATTGTTACCTTTGATTGCCGAAGGGTAAATCCTCTTAATCCTTCCTTACATCGCATTAAACCCTACTTCACCCATGTACTATGGCTATATACCCCTAATTATTCTCCCACTATATCCCATGATGTTTCAGTCTGGGTAAATTATAACGACCTCACTGTTCTCCCTCACTGGAATCATGGTTAATAAGGGAGATCATCCCCAAATGGCCTTAATTCAGGTTAGTGAAATATTATAATTTACCCAGATTAATGGGAATCGAACATCAAACCCTACTTCACCCCATGTACTATAGCTATATATCCCTAAATATTATCCCATTATATCCCATTATCCTATTATATTTCAACGCTTTCCTGGCGGATGTTCGATGTTCCTAACCGTCACCATGGTAGGCGGTGGAACTTCCCGTGTCGCCCCTGCCGCCTGCGGCGGCGGCGAAACTCTTCCTGCGCCGTGCAAAGAGGCGGATTCCAAGCGGCTGGAAAATCCACCGTTTATAATAAGGTAAACCATAGGAAAATGGTAGTTTAATGGAATTTAATGGGATTTAATAGGATATACCCTCTGGTAATCTAACATAGCTATTGAAAGATCCACCATTTTATAGCTGGGAAAATCCACTATGAATGGTGATTTTCCATAGCTATGTTAAATTACCAGAGGGTAAACCCAATGCCATAAACCATCCCCGATCTTACCCGTAAAGTGGGCTTGGTCTAAACTACCAAACACATCCAAATGGTTGGTTTGTGGCGCCCACAGATGATTTTTCTGTGACTTCCCCTATAGCAAACTAGTTGAGTTAACCTATAATGAATCAACCCTAGATAGAGAAGTTGACCTATGTTGACCGAAAGAAAAACAGGTGAATTCCTTTGGTTTTCATGGGCATATAAAGAACATGAACGGACTGGTTAATGGGTTTAGAAACCAGTATCGGGGCCTCAGTTTGTGGGGATATTCAATGATTTTGCCATCAATAAATATGGGTATATATATATATAACCAACAACATGGGGATTTGATGGGGATGCAATAAAAGCAACTAACCACTTAACCAAGTATGGATAAAGTATTTATATATATATATATATATGCAATATCGTGCCCAGCAGTTATGTTTGTTAGATTATAACCCCCTTCACCATAAACCCTAGTTCACCTACTTATAAACGAAGCTAGCTCACTATGGGGCAGCACCTTGTAAATAATGAATCATGAATTGTCCATATATTTTGCCTATATCAACCCCAAGATGGAACATATAACATCACTGGTTGGTGGTTTGGACCATTTTTCATTTTTCCATAT